CCGTATATCATCGTGAGTGGGCATAAATTGTTACAGTGTATATCATCGTGAGGGGGCATACATTGTTACAGTGTATATCAACGTGAGTGGGCATACATTATTACCACGTATATCATCGTGAGTGGGCATACATAGTTACTGTGTATATCATCGTGAGTGGGCATCCATTATTACAGTGTATATCATCGAGAGTGGGCATACATTATTACAGTGTATATCAGCGTGAGTGGGCATACATTATTACCACGTATATCATCGTGAGTGGGCATACATTGTTAAAGTGTATATCATCGTGAGTGGGCATACGGGGGGACAGTGTATAGGGTCGTGAGGGGGCATACATTATTACAGTGTATATCAGCGTGAGTGGGCATACATTATTACCGTGTATATCATCGTGAGTGGGCATCCATTATTACAGTGTATATCATCGTGAGGGGGCATTCATTAATACAATGGATATCATCGTGAGTGGGCATACATTGTTACAATGTATATCATCGTGAGTGGGCAGACATTATTACAGTGTATATCATCGTGAGTAGGCATACATTGTTACAGTGTATATCATCGTGAGTAGGCATACATTGTTACAGTGTATATCATCGTGAGGGGGCATACATTGTTACAGTGTATATCATCGTGAGGGGGCATACATTGTTACAGTGTATATCATCATGAGTGGGCATACATTGTTACAGTGTACATCATCGTGAGTGGGCATACATTGTTAAAGTGTATATCATCGTGAGTGGGCGTACATTGTTACAGTGTATATCATCATGAGTGGGCATACATTGTTACAGTGTATATCATCGTGAGTGGGCATACATTAGTACAATATATATCATCGTGATTGGGCATACATTATTACAAGGTATACCATCATGAGTAAACACACATCATTATAATCTAATACAATGTAGACCATCATGAGTACACATACATCATTATAATCTAATACAATGTAGATCATCATGAGTAAACATACATCGTTATAATCTAATACAGTATTCACATGTAACTCTATACGGCAAGCTAGCTAGGTGCTAATACAGTATAACCTGTCTAAACCGGCCCCTGTCTAATCCAGATCCCTGTCTAAACTGGCTGTGATTTGTGGTCCTGGCATATTCCTTAAATAATCATAGTAGTTCAAGCCTGGATTAATCAGACTCTGTCAATTCCGTAAACCGGCGTTGTTTCACAAAAGTTTTCATCGTAATCTATGTACATTCCGGTCATGATATTTCTCTCGGTCGGCTACAATCTTAAGATAGCTCATTCTAAACAAATTAGGGCTATCCAATGTTGGGTCGCCCTTCATTTGCATTATAAACTGTATATTTTGTAAATAATTAAACACTGCAATTGATTCATTTCTCTGTTGTTTATGAAATGACACACTTGTATACAGATCGTATGCAAAACACTACATTTTTGTATTTTCAAAAGCTGACATGCCGACCTTGTATAAACCGGACACCTGTGTAAACCGGACAAATAGTTTGGTTCTGGTGACATCCGGTTTAGACAGGTTATACTGAATATGAAATTCAATAAAGTCCTTCGAGAAATGAAGTCGCTGGAGCGATGATAAAGATTTTCTATAAAAAAGTAACAATGACCTTGACCTTGGCACCCTGAAACACGAACTCGTTCCAGGCATTCTCATTACTGACCAATCTTTGTATAAAATTTGATCAAAATCCTTTCGAAAATGAAGTCACTAGAGTGATGACAAAGGGTGAACATACATAGAAACAGAATCCTACACATCTCCTCTGTCACAAAGGAATTATGTTAAGTATACATGGGATAATCATAACTTGTTTCTCAGGAAATGCAAATCTTAATCCGGAAAATATTTCAACAATATTTGAAGTGTCCTTTGTTACTGCATCCAACACAAGTGTTACATGTATTATAAAGCCTAAGAGAAACCCCCTTTAGCTGAGGCAGTAACAGACACTTATATAATTGATACATATCTATTACACTGTCAATATTATGGTTTTATTTGTATACATAGGCGTGTACATTGTACTCTACCACAATATACTTTCTTGAATCGGACATTATTCATGCAGTCAATCACGTGAAAGATACACACGGCCTTGCTCAAACCATTGTCAACTTGTCAGGCTTCTGTGGCGAACATACAAGCAGACCTTCGCAGGTTCTGCTTAGTTATTGTTACCTCAACCCCTAACACGCTCATCTAACGGTTGAGTGAACAAGAAGTAGAAAGTGGAGAGCAAATAAAGAAAGCCTTAGGGAAGTGACGTAGATATAGGTATGATAGGAACTCAGGCATGTAAAGCAGGTGTTGTGCGTTAAGGTGTGGTCATGTCAAAGTCACGTCCGACTGGTTCGGTCACATTCCACTGAACACGTGTACACTTACTGGATCAGGTTACGTATACAACAGGTCACACAAGTCATGTAAAACAGAGCTAACTCCAATACTAAAATATCTAACATGGGTTACACACAAAACTGAAGGCAACAAACAAGGGTAATAATGACAAAATAGATATATGAATGTCTATGTTTTCTATTTGATATCACACTCCTGCAAACATACTCTGTTCCTGATGTTATAGCAATCTGGAGCGACTTTCAGAGCAAATAATAATATTGATGTCATAACTGCCATCAGGGTTCTCGGTAAAAGCCGGCTATTAACAGTCATAGTGAGGTTTGTGTGCATGAGAGATAGAGATCTTGTCCTAAAAAACGCGAGAAATATTGACAGAGCCTCAAAGATCACTGGTCGTACCGATTTACCCGACCACCTCAAGACCAAAAGATATGAACTTCTCAAAATTGGACACCAGCTAAGAAAAACCAAGCAAGTGCAAACAGTGGTTAGGGAAAGTAAGATTGATGTTTGGCTAATGACCAGGAAATCCGCCCAGGACAAATGGAAGAAATACTCCATCGAGTAATGAACTTGAACTGTTAAATTAAAACACTGACTTACTATTAAATTAATTATGTCTTATACCAAATGCTCTGCATTCCGAAAATATTAAGCTAACTGTATCCCTCGTCCCATGGACATTCCCAGAAAAAAAGGGGGATATAGGCTTAAAGTGTAATTTGTACGCCCAAACCCGACAAACTCAATACCCACTATTTCTCCTCTTAAAAAAACCCAACTATACAATACCCTACCTTGTGATCATGACCCTTACCCAGGTAAAAGATATTTGGTCGGGATTGGGTAGGCAGACTGATGACATTTTAACATTGGCCCTAAACAAGAGATCCCAGAGGGATCTTGGCGCCCACCTTTGTACCATCTTCATTAGTTCTTTGTCATTTCGATCTTTTCTTTTCTTTCCTCTAATCTGTTTGATCGAGTCATGTTAACAGTAAATGCACCTTGAGGTAACTTTTGATCTAAACTTAATACTGGTGTGAAAGCCAACCTTCAAAGTGAGTTTGTCATTTTACATATTTAATAGTACAGTACTTAATGTGAAAGAAATAGAACCGATCATTGCAATATGAGAAAGATCTGTTTAGTTCTTCTTTTAATCCATTCTGTTTTTATGATCAGTCTCAAAATATAACAGACACAAAGAGGGATCAAGGGGAACCTACATTTAAAATTTGAGAAAAATCCCTCCCGTACTTCCCAAGAAATAGCGCTAACAAACTTTCACTATCAAAATCCAAGATGGCTGCCTGTCGGCCATGTTGTTTATCCGATCAGTCTCAAAAGTTGCCCTGCACAGCTAAGGACCAAGGGGTACCTACATATAAAATTTGAGAAAGATCCCTCTGGTAAATCCGGAGAAATAGCGGTAAAAAACCCACACTATCAAAATCCAAGATGGCTACCTGTCGGCCAGGTTGTTTATCCGATAAGTCTCAAAAGTTGCCCTGCACATCTAAGGACCAAGGGGAACCTTCATATAAAATTTGAGAAAGATCACTCTGGTACTTCTTGAGAAATACTGATAACAAGAATTGTTTACGGGCGGATGGCGGACAACGGACGACGGACCACGGACGCAGGGTGATTTGACTAGTTTAAAAAACTTAAGATAAAAACTTAAGTAGTAATAGTCTACTTGTTAACTATGAAACTGTAGACTCATAGAGATGAAATACTAGTCAAAGTTATCTCAAGTATTCACATTTTTTACCCAATACTCGTATGGTTAATAAAATCTCATGATTTTTCTGCATGTGCTTTTTGGGCATGCCTTACCGCATCGGTTTTGCAATGGGCGAGTGCCCAATATATAATATACCCCTATGGGTCATACACAGGCTTCCTGCGTACTGTTTGGGAATTGTTAAAAATTAAGCTGTATTATATATATACAATAACTATGTCATGTCCAAGACCCATGCAGGACGTATGCGGTGGGTATCTATTAGTTAAATAGCCCGAAAAACTTTATTTACCTATATATACATGTATATGTACCCTGTAAATTCCCATGGGAAAAAAATATATCACTATGGGGAGTGAGCCAACTGGATCTCTTGTTGTATGAAAAAAATATCCAAATGAAGTGTTGACAGTTTTGTAACAATTTCTACGTCAAACTTTTAAAAATGTGAGATATACATAGCAAAAATGACCATTAGATATTAAATAAACCATGCTGGAAAAAAGTCTTTTTTTTGTTTTACTTTTTTGCAGTTCTCTAGACAACATTTTTGACCAGTTTGGTGAAGTTGGGATATATATATTTACACCCACTCAACATTTAAACATTCTTCTTATGCATTTTATATCTGTCAGGTATCTATTCAGAGACTTTCAGTGACAAGCCCGAAGCTGGCTCGTGCCCATGAAAAGACTTTCATACTTAATTTGGTATCTGTTTTTAATTTAATGATATTAAAAAAGGTTCTGAAACACCTCTCGACATCTGGAGCAATGCAATTTTTGTATTGAGTTGTCTACATGTGTTGATTATTTACAGTTTCCCGATATTTTAACAACATGTTGCTCAGGCTTGCAGGCAGCTTCCTCAACCCTGCTCAAGTCTACTCATTTGAGGATCTGAAGAGGTAATTTTCAAATTCATATACTCATTGGATTATCTTCACATAATTGATGTTGTAAATTGTAGTTTTTATTCATTCTTAATTAAAAAACAACTTCAAAATATAATTTGATTAGATTTTTAACACTTTCCTAACAAATACATTTCATTGATTTCCAAGAGGAATTGGTAAAATAAAGTTTTGTTTTTGTTTTATTTTGAAACATGAAAATTAAAAATACTGGAAAGTGGCAAACAGATCCAAAACTGATGGTTGTAATGTATGGATTTGTTTTCAAGTCTCGTTGAATTTGAAACATCAACAGATAAAGCAAAAGAGGAATATTTTTCAATTGTTTCGAGAAAAACGTGACTCGAGAATGAATTTTGAAAAAAAAATCGAAAAAAACCTTGTTTGGTTTTATTTTATGTGAACATTGAAAAGTGATTAAAAGATTTCATAAAAATTAACCCTGTTTTGTGTCATGTTACACATGTGAATGTACATAACATAGAGAAATGAGTGAATATTTAGTGTTTTTGTTGACCAAACAATTGGACAAGATATTCATACAAAGCCATTTTTACTGTCCCCCGTCTCTCTGTCCGTTCCTTTGCAAAGTCTAAAACAGATTCTCCCTGATTGGTTAGTATGGCTGTGATGTCATACTTACCTACTGTAGATTCTAGGTACTGTTTTACATGAGTTTCACACTCAGTGAACAGATCTACATCTGATGTAAACATAGCTATATAGTGTAGACAATGATACCCGGTATTAGTTACAGCTGTAGTTAGTGCTGGGTACGACTCACAAAGATATTTACAAACATCCATGTGTCCCCCCTCACAACTAACATGTAACACTGTTTTCCCGTCAGTATTTACAGCTGTAGTTAGTGCTTGGTACGACTCGCACAGATATTTACAAATCTCCATGCGTCCCTCCCTACAACTATAATGTAACACTGTCCACCCGTCATTATCTACAGCTATAGTTAGTGCTGGGTACGACTCACACAGATATTTACAAACCTCCATGTGTCCCAAAATACAACTAGAATGTAACACTGTTTTCCTGTCATTATCTACAGCTATAGTTAGTGCTGGGTACGACTCGCACAGATATTTACAAACCTCCATGTCTCCCCCCCTACAACTATAATGTAACACTGTTTCCCCGTCATGATCTACAGCTGTAGTTAGTGCTGGGTACGACTCGCACAGATATTTACAAACATCCATGTGTCCCAACATACAACTAGAATGTAACACTGTTTGCCCGTTTCTTTTATTTTCAGCTATAGGTAGTGCTGGGTACGACTCACACAGATATTTACAAACCTCCATGTGTCCATACATACAACTATAATGTAACACTGTTTCCCCGGACTTAGTTACAGCTGTAGTTAGTGCTGGGTACGACTCGCACAGATATTTACAAACATCCATGTGTCCCAACATACAACTAGAATGTAACACTGTTTGCCCGTTTCTTTTATTTTCAGCTATAGGTAGTGCTGGGTACGACTCACACAGATATTTACAAACCTCCATGTGTCCATACATACAACTATAATGTAACACTGTTTCCCCGGACTTAGTTACAGCTGTAGTTAGTGCTGGGTACGACTCGCACAGATATTTACAAACATCCATGTGTCCCAACATACAACTAGAATGTAACACTGTTTGCCCGTTTCTTTTATTTTCAGCTATAGGTAGTGCTGGGTACGACTCACACAGATATTTACAAACCTCCATGTGTCCATACATACAACTATAATGTAACACTGTTTCCCCTGACTTAGTTACAGCTGTAGTTAGTGCTGGGTACGACTCGCACAGATATTTACAAACATCCATGTGTCCCAACATACAACTAGAATGTAACACTGTTTTCCCGTCATTATCTACAGCTGTAGTTAGTGCTGGGTACGATTCACACAGATATTTACAAGCCTCCATGTGTCCAAACCTACAACTATAATGTAACACTGTTTTCCTGTCATTATCTACAGCTGTAGTTAGTGCTGGGTACGACTCACACAGATATTTACAAACCTCCATGTGTCCCCCCCTACAACTATAATGTAACACTGTTTTCCCGTCATTATCTACAGCTGTAGTTAGTGCTGGGTACGATTCACACAGATATTTACAAACCTCCATGTGTCCAAACTTACAACTACGATGTAACACTGTTTCCTCCCTCTCACTCAATAACTGACACACGTACTGAGCACACACACAATTCCTGTGCACCACACGACCCTCAAATGTCTCACATTTATGTTGTTCATCCTCAACTCTATGCAAGGAATTAACTATAATTCTCTCCACTTTGCATAATATATTCACACTCCCTCCCTTTACCACACAAAACGGTGTCTCCTTGTCAGGTTTCACACCCTTCGACAGGAGGGATAAAGCACATTCTTCTGAACCAGCAGAACATGCTCCATTTAACAAACAAAATGTTATCACATGGCACAAGTTTTTGTCATCATTCTGACCACTAAGCCATCTGATAAATCCTTGCAGAAACTGAATATCTGTCCAAACATCTAATGAAGCTATAGTATGATATTTACTATAAAACCAGTCACTTTCTCGGTCAGAGTATCTAGATTTAAACTCTCTGAGTAAACGTTTATACAAAACATTGTACTGATTATCAGATGATATAACTCCTTTGTTTGGAGTGGGTTTTGAGGTAGTTACATAACTGAGGAACTTGCTGGGACAATTCTGTATGTAGCCAATGGGAGTTTTTTTTCCATACAAAAGGGCCAGAGTTTCCTCAATTGAGTCATGGTTGAATTTGTAACAAACGTTTTGTTTTTGATTAGACTCTTTTTTCACATCCTGGTCAGACTCCTTTTTCACCATCCAACCCAACAGACAATCTAACGAATCCTTCACAAATTCTATTTTCCTCCCCTTAGACCTATTGTGAACAAGCTCCGCTGTTGTGGTAACTTTTACTACATCATTAGCAAATGCTGCTTCTAATAAATGTTCATCAATATTTTCATTGTTAGAGTCTAAATCATCTTCCATGACTTTGCCTCCATTAAGGAAAAGATACACCAGACCATAACATTTTCCGTCTTCCAATTTAGATAATGAAGATTTCAGAAAATGAAAAGGTCTTTTAAAAAAATTGACCCTCTCTGCTTGCAAAATAGGTGAATCTCTGAACAACCTACAGCATTGTGGAAACCCAATGTCAGGAGCACACTTGACAATTTCCTTCTCTTCACTTTCTTTCCATGAAACAAAATTATCTTTTGGTTTGTACAAACTTAACAATTCCAGTTTTTCTTTTGCATCTATGTTAAGGTCAACAATGTTTTGTTTAGTGAATACCTTTTCCAAGTAATATGCATTTAAAGAATTTGAAATTCCACTGCGAATCGCAATGATCAGAAAATTGCCATCTCTGTGCTCATTTCCACAAAATTTTGAAATAATTGATTTTTCTCTTTTCTCCCATTCTTCCACATCTTGTTTACACACAACATTCTTCCCAAAGATATCATCTAAATAAATAACTAATTGTGACTTTGGGGTCACCTTATCCAAGTCTTTGATATCATGCAGTTCTAGTGGCTGTCGACATTGTTGCCTCTCCTCATTATAGCACAGCCGACGGAGAAGTTCAAGTGCAATGGATGTCTTCCCGTCTCCAGAATTTCCCTTAATTATCACCAAGCTGTTCTTCATTAGTTTATGGTAGGCATCCTGGAGACTTTTGGTAGAAAAGAACTTGTATTCGTCTTTTTCTTTCAATATCATGGCTGTGGTTGTTTCTGCAAGGAAAAAATAAATCATGTCCCGTAAAAACAAACGTTAGAATGAAATAGCCAACATTTATGAGTCTCCAATGGGGTTCAGGAAATACATCTTTAACGTTAAACAATGTAAAGATAACCTACAATATAGACAAATCTTGATAACATATATGAACTTGTGAGTTGTGACATTGTACATTATCTGATGGTAAAGATTGACTTTTCTCTCATTTCCCTGTGTGTAAGATAGAGCTGTCCAAGGTAGGAAAGGGGTGTAGGAAATTTCTATCTTACAACCCATTTCACATGACGTGAAGTCACAATTGCTCAACAATGACGTGACGGCACGAATTTGGAACTCTCCGATGCCGCAATGCGGAAAAAGCAACGTGATGAAATTAAAACCTTTTACAATATATTTACCGTACAGGTTAGAAAGATGCGATTAATTTTTCTGCGCAAACCTGGTTTGCAAATATGAGATAAACTCAATCTGGCTGCCTGATTCGTTTTCGTCTAAAAAGCTCAGGGGGGGGGGGGGGGGATTTTTTTTCAAAATGGTAGCCAGTCGAAACGCATTTTCATGGTTTCAGAGCTTATTCTGGTGGTTGGAATGAAAGAAAAATACTCTTTCATGCTCAAGGGTGTAGGATAGGGAAATTCCACCCTCGGGATTTTTAAATTTCGCAGGTTTTACCAAATTTGAAAACCTCTCTGGTGGAATTTCTCTATCCTACACCCCTGGACATGGAAGAGTCTTATAATATTACCCAGGTGTTTCTGAATCTTTACAAAGTAAGATATGCTAAAACACTGACATGTCAACAAGGGCCCCGCTGTTTGCCTTAAAGTATAACACATATCCCAAATTGCCAAGCAGATGCCATAGCAGTAACTTTTGATTCTGGAATATGGATAGTAAGCCATCATATAAATATATATTTGCAAAGGAACATTTACAAACAGGTATGAATAAAATCTGACCAGCAGAGCAGGAAAAATAGCCTGAAATATCTCAGACAGTCAGAAGCTATGGCAGCCACCTTATATAATGATATCTGAGTATTATTATTTACCTCACTTATAACAATGCACCTTCATGTAAAATTTCATAAAGTTTTAGACTTCTGGAGTCTGAGACAATCTATACAAATGAGAATGCTGTCAGATAGACAGTGTGTAGACAGACAAACAGACGGACAGACATAGTGATTACTATAGGACATCTGCATCTCTGATGTCGGTACCTAAATGACAAATGGTTGAGCAATTTATTCTTGCATTTTATTGAAGAATGATTTAGCATAGCTGAATATGAATAGCCTGTCTCACTAGAACATAATTTGACAATGATAACAATAACTAAACACAATCTGTTTCCATCAATCAGCCACAATCACAACATGACATATCAAGTTAATATGATTTTGACCTTGGATGGACGATTACATAACAGTTATTGTTTTATACAAATTCAATTATTTCACATGCTCTTCAGCATCTGAACAGTATTATTTGAACTTTTCACTAGTCGCTGTCCCTGAAGATTAGTTTGGTTGATATACACGGTATGCTGCAGCTCTCCTTCATCAAGTCAGATCTTCTTATCCATCCCCGTTCAGTAAACTCACCTATCATAGCTGTTAGCTTAGGATACCTATCTGTAAAATACAAAGGATCCATGTGATGTTTTTAGATAATTCACAAAATGTTGATTATGACATAGAGTAGAAAACAAATTACTTATTGCTAAGATTTAACCTTTTCGCATCATCTACGTGAAATGTCTATTGATATCTTTCTCAGTGGTTGGAAAGCTAAAGTGCTAAATGAAATGACAGAGTACAGCCATCAAATAAATAGAACAGACAATCATAGTATAGAGGATCGGATTAAAAACCTTGGATCAATACATAATATATAGACATCAGACACGCATTACATAATTCTCTCTCCAGTTAAACATTAGTTAGTCAATATTATTAGTACAGAAGAGTTTAAATGTGGACACTGATAATTAGTGAAGTTTTCTGTCACTTTTTTTTACAGAATCACTTTAAACAAATACAGTAAAACACGGTTATAACAAATCCCAGGGGCCGTGCTTAATCAGTTCATTATTAAGGTAGTTCATGTTACACGTAAAACGAACGTATATTGTTATTTTTGAAAACATCACTATATGAAATTACGTTTATCAAGCACAATTTCCAATTGAGCCCAGAGAAAAAAGGGTATATCATGAATATAAGTACTCGCTCGAGCAACACTGACGGAATCTACCTCCTCTCCCTCCCTCCCTCCACTTTCCCCCTTCCTTACTGTTAGAAACATTTGAGTACCTCCTACATGTACACAACTTCAATATCAGACATCTCATTCGAGTTAATAACAGTCGATATTGATGAAATCCAACATGGTGACCTCGACCTCGGCAGCTTCGGTCTCCACTCAACATGTAGATTTTCATCAGAAACATAATTCACTGTGTTCATTAGTCAAATTATATCACGTAAAAGCATTTGAAGTTATGTTGGATAAACAACCCAACACCTATTGTCATCGAAAACACAACTCTCTGTGTTAAGTTATCATACAAACAGTAGCTAACAATTTCCCGTCGGTGGCCTCACATTCAAGGTCGAGATCGGAAATTGGTTTTGTACTGCAGTGTTAAAACACCACTGAATTTCACCTGAGGGGAATGCTAATTTGCTTCCAAATAAACGTTAATTGGCTATATAAATTTGCACTATGATAATGAAATTACCTAGAAGTAAGAGGAAAAAGAGCTTGGGAATCAGCATCAGTTTGCAATACCCAAAAAATCACAATAAGTGTGTTCGTACTAACGTGTTTTACTGTATTATCAATGTTATCAACACAGATAAACATTAGGACATGCTCACACAACACACCTCTTGTCTGGTCTCCGTCTCCAGTGTTGGGTCGCTTGGCTTCTGATGGTCCTGTATGTCAACCGAATAAAACAAATTATATATATATAGGGACTGAAGGGTGTATTTTTTAATTTTCATGCCGGCACGAGTTCAAATAGGTTACATCCATATTGCTTGAAGCCTGCTAACAGTGGAATGAGGCTTGATCAGCTTTTGAGTATGCAACAAAAATAAATATGATGTTAAGATTTCATCGTTTGTGTTCATTCTTTGTGCTAAACACGATTTTAATTTCTAATCATGATTTCGGTAGGGGCTATTTTGGTAGCAGTCAAGTACAACTCAAACTCACAAAGTGACTTATAACTTCGCAGAAACAAGAGCTTGAATATAGATGAATATATAGAATGACCCCTGTGACCTTGAAAGTAGGTCAAGGTCATTCATTTGAATAAACTTGGTATCCCTTCATCCCGAAATGGTTCTGGCCAAATATCATCACCCTGAATCTTTTGGTTATTCAGAAGCTGTTTAAATATTTCAACATATTTCACCTCCGTGACCTTGAATATAGGCAAAGGTAATTCATTTGAACAAACTTAGTAGCCCTTCATCCCAGCATGCTACTGGCCAAATATCATCACCCTGGACCTTTTGGTTTACAGTGCTTCATCCTAGCATGTTATTGGCCAAATATCATCATCCAGGGCCTTCTGGTTATTCAAAAGAAGTTGTTTAAGGTTTCAAGACAATTTACCCAGATGACCTTGAATATGGGCGAAGGTCATTCATTTGAACAAACTTTGTAGCCCTTCATCCCCGCATGCTACTGGCCAAATTTCATCACCTTCACTGAAGCTTTAAGTTATTCAGAAGAAGTTGTTTAAAGATTTCAACATATTTGACCCCTGTGACCATGAATATTGGTATAGGTCATTCATTTGAACAAACTTGGTAGCCCTTTATCCAAGCATGCTATTGGCCAAATATCAACACCCTAGACCTCTTGGTTATTTAGAAGAAATTGTTTTAAAGTTTAAACATATTTGATCCCCCTGTGACCTTGAATATGGGCGAAGGTCATTCGTTTGAACAAAGTTGGTAGTACTTCATCCTAGCATGTTATTGGCCAAATATCATCATCCTGGGCTTTCTGGTTTTACCATATTTGACCCCTCTGACCTTGAACATGGGCAAAGGTCATTCATTTGAACAAACTTGGTAGCCCTTCATCCCAGCATGATACTGGCCAAATATCATCAGCCTGCAGGGCCTCTTGGTTATTCAGAAGAAGTTGTTTTAAGTAAAAAGTTGAAGCTGGACGGTCGCTGGACCATGCCATAAGCTTATGAGCTAAAAACAACTTTATTTATGACTGGCAATATATGTGTATGATATCTGCAGCGGTAATTGATTTGAAAATAATTTTATCTTTAAACATACTTGCTAGTAGCTACATTTTTTTTAACCTAAAGCAGACTGCATTTGGCTTTCATAAACAAGTCGGTCAATACAGCTGTATTAAACTTATTTATTAATTAAACACGAATACAGGGGTCCATATGACAAGTGGAACTATCGGTGGAATCAAGAAGATATATCCTTACCACTGGTCTGAGTTCCTGATGTTTTTTGCGACTTTTTCTGTGGCATCCTCTGGTCCACATTCTGTCTGTCCCTAGTCTGTTTGAATTCAGACAACATTTCCTTGACGTCTGTCATCAAGGCTTTAGCTTCATCATCTACAAATTTCAAAGGAAACTGCTATTATTTTTCATACTGATGACATCCTAGATCAACCTATCGTTATAAATACCAAATTTTTATTGTGACTCACCTTTTTTTTATGAAATTCTGGTTTTGAATAAATTTGGAAGGAAAAGCATCTGTAAATTATGGTGGCATATATTTCTGCCATCGACTTTCGACTTGCGAGTTACCTATGTGGACATAATCTATGAATATGTCGCAAAAGCGTTTCAATAATGTCGATATATTTTTCGCTCATGTTAATGCTCAGATGTGACAACGAGTTGCCATTTATGTATGCAAAGCAAATGAGCAGTTAACAAGTCAATCTCTAAGAAATTATCACGCGACTTATATTGCTGATATACGAAACCTTAATTAAGGCTATATCATTGTAATATACCTTATTACAGTAGATTTCTCTTAATATCACTTCCCATTTGTCAGAGAAAAACATGATATTAACAGAAACATGACATAAACAGAATACATATTTTCTGATGTTTTTCAGCCCTCAAAACTGGAAGTGAACTTAGTCAAATGCCTAAGTGATGTGGCTCTACGAAGAAGATTGATATTTTGTAACTAGCCTTGTTCTTTACCCTAGTTGAAATATAGATATAAGTAAAGAAGTATAGAAATAAATATAGTATTTGTATTTCATTTCAGTATGAAGTTACATTTCATATAGTTAGTAGCAAAATGACGATCAGTACGATTGTAATTATGATTGTTTACTGCAGTAGTGATGTAGGCATACAAGTGTTTGGCTGGTATTCTGCATCAAATTCTATTGTAAACATGAGACTTGGTAAATATTTACCTATATCTTGATATATATACTGTTCTTTCGCTAGTAACATCTTTTTATAGGTTAATTTCCTTAGATATTTGCTGCAAGTGTGTAATCGAAGATAGTACACATGTTATAATTAGTTGAAAAAATACATCACACTTGGCATTAAAAAAGTTTACAGATGTTAGACAGTCCTAGCACCCCCAACCACAGGTGAATATCATGTTAACAAGTATGTAAGTCAACCTATTGTTTAACAGTCAGCCAGGTGTAAAAAATACCCTGTTAGGCCGAGGCATTGTTTACATAATGCGTCCAGGGTGTGACAGAAGGTCCCCAGGGCATTTATCATGAATCATTACCACCATTTACCTGTATTTTTTTTGTGACAGTGGCCAAAATAAAGTGATATTAAGAGAAATCAACATAAAATCAGGTGATAATAAAAGAATTGAATTGCATTGATTATATAGCAGGAAAAACGGTGCATCAAAAAAACATGATAATAACCGAAAAGTGACATGAACAGACGTGATATTAGGTGAAATGTACTGTATAAGCTTATAATACACCATGTGATCATTTAAAGGGAAATGATTGGTTAACTACTCGTTTTGTTTTGTATAAATAAGTAACAATTCAATGTCACATCTGAGCATTAACACGATAAAAGTTACCTACTTACGTGATAATTATCTCGGCAAAATTATCTCAGAAAATGTAAAAATATGTCGACATAATTCAAATGTTATTTCGACATATTCATAAATTAAGTAACTCTCAAGTTAAAGGTCGATGGCAGAACTATTCCATCACAGTAAATCAATATCTTTCAGTACTATTATTTCTAGAAACAGTTTCAACAAATTACTGATTTTAAGGATCATCCTCAAAAATGCAGTCAGATCAGACAAAAAAACCTTACAGTATAATAGATATAACATACACACACCTAGATACATATATCCACACTGAGTTACAGTCTGGTACTCACCCGGTCTGTTTATAGTGATAGCATTATGATCTCCAAACACATTGGCTTCTCCTCCGCTAAATGATAAGTTCACGTTGCCTATTTTCTGCTTTTGTACTAAAGGACAACAAAAACAATGATGAATTAGAGTGAACATTAAAACTCATGACAGTTTGGTATTGAATGTAAAACAAAGGACTTGTGGTTACTTCAAAACATTTTCTTCAGGTTGGTAAGTATGGATTATAAAAAGTTCTTTTTTACAAAACCAATATGATTTTCTATGTGACGTTTCGATGACTAGTACGTTATGTACAAATTCAAAATTCAAAATCTGTTCAGAAATGAAGTTACTAGAGCAATAACTAAGAATCAAAATGTGTGCCACCATGGAGCATAACAGAACATGAGGGGATGAACATGAAAAACACTATAGCTGGGGTCCTTCATAAATAACGGGGCCTAAAAAGTTGACAACAATGAGTAGCGGAACACATCCTCCATACTCACTTACGCTCTCTGCACACCTGGAAGATAAGCTTAGTGTTTGTAGAAGATGTGCATTGATTAGGTGGCCTAACAAGGGCCAGCTGTAGGGTATTTCCCTTTAGCTCAGCGGTAGAGCATTGGGATGGAGAGTCAAGGGTCGCGGGTTCGAGCCCCAGCGACGGCACTATCTTTATCCCTATTCCTTGTCCTGCTACAAACTGGTGCCGTTGACCCTTCTCGTTCAAGGTAGGAGAACCCTTTGCAGGGAGTCAAAAAACCTGGGTTGAACATTATATTATAAGTGTCCGTAGGATCAGTCCCACTGTACTAAATTGCTCTTTCTCCTGTGATAAAATTGGAAAGCTTGCCAATCCTTGTTTATAGCATAAGGGTGTTTGCTTGGGGTGACACCCAAACCAGGGTTGTAAATAGTGATGTCTTCAGGGGTAATGACTTAAAAAAAGGAGGGAGGAATGTTATATTACTGGACTGGGTTAATAGTCAGTGACCAGGTGGCTCAACTGGTAGAGCGCCCGTCTAGAGTTCGGAGGTCCTGCGTTTCTCTTTCTCCTATTACACAATGAACATACAACCAAGACGTGATGTAAATAAGTAATATAGATATTATTGAACTCTTTCATACACATACCTTGCACCATTGTTGTACTTCCCTGGGGGTAAGCAGGCACCATTGCCCCTGTAGCCCCTCCCTGGGGGTAAGCAGGCACCATTGTCCCTGTTGCCCCTCTCTGGGGGTGAGCAGGCACCATTGTCCCTGTAGCCCCTTCCTGGGGGTGAGCAGGCACCATTGTCCCTGTAGCCCCTCCCTGGGGGTGAGCAGCCACCATTGTCCCTGTAGCCCCTTCCTGGGGGTGAGCAGGCACCATTGTCCCTGTAGCCCCTCCCTGGGTTTGGCTGACTGCCACCGTTGTCACTTCTGTATTTTCTCCTTGCAGGTAAGCTGACACCATTTTACCTACAGCCTCTTCAGAAAAATGTTTTATTTCAGGACCACTAGCACCAGCTGTGATGGTTTGAATATGGGGAATCCTGTCTCCTGTCTGACATCCCCTGCTGTCAGTGTTTTCCCCTGGCAGTGCTATCTTAGGTGATGTGGTTTTCTCACCATACTCCATCGCCTCTAGTTGGCCTCTTTCTAGGTTGATTTGCTCCTGACTTGGGATTGATGACTGCACAATACTATCACTTGAGTGAGTTACAGTGCTCATGTGAGGATTACCAGAATGCACTTTAGATCTCATGTGAGATGATTCAACATTGTGAGGAACATCATATGAGGATGCTGCTTCTCTGCTTAAATGTCTACTATCTGGTTCCCCTGTGTAGCTGTTGGTTTCTGTTATAAGAGAATGATACAAACTTGAGTCAATGTAAGAGTTCCTTTAACTTAACAATGAAAAATATTCCATTTCCTCACTGCATAGTAACTAGGTAAATTAGTTTATACCAACATTTACATGAAGATGTTTATTGGAGATTTTAACACATTTGACCCAAGTGACCTTAAATGTGAACAGCGGGCAGTTCCTTGAGCAAAGTTGATGGTCCCTTACCCAACAAGCTACAGGCCATATAACGTATCTTTCAAATGTCACTAGACATAGTTCTAGGGTGATTTTAACACAGTTGACCCCCGCTACTTCTATATATGCCAAGGTCATTTATTTGAACATTCATTCCAGTAATAAACACAGCAAATATTTTGACTTCACCTCCATTAAGAATTTGTTTTAGGCTTCAGACAAATTTTACTCATTCAAACTGGAAGGAAGAATAAAGTATTTTCTTTAACAAAAGTAATAGCCCTTCATCCCAGAAATACAAGAGGCCCAATGGGCCTGCATCGCTCACCTGGTATTAATCTCACACTTGTAATCTTAAAAGTGGATTAAAATAAAGCTACAAGCAGAATATCAGTGTTTGATTCATAAGAACCTATTAAAAGATTTAAACATATGACGGCTGTGACCCTGAATGTCGAACAAGGACATAAGGTTGAAAGTGGGTTAAATATAATTTGTTCAGTACCCTGGGCCTTTTGGTTATTGAGAAAAAGTTGTTTGCAGATTTTAAGACATTTTATCCCTGTGACCTTGAAAGTGGGTCAAAGTCATTCATTTGAACAAACTTGGTAGCCCTTCATCCAAGCATGCTACAGGCCCAATATCAGTACCCTGGGCCTTTTAGTTATTGAGAAGTTGTTTGAAGATTTTAAGACATTTGACCCCTGTGACCTTGAAAGTAGGTCAAGGTCATTCATTTGAACAAACTTGGTAGCCTTTCATCCCAGCATCCTACAGGCCAAATATCAGTACCCTGGGCTTTTCAGTTATTGAGAAGAAGTTGTTTGAAGATTTTAGTACATTTAACTATGTGACCTTGAAAGTTGGTCAAGGTAATTCATTTGAACAAACTTGGTAGCCCTTTATCCCAGCATGATACAGGCCCAATATCAGTACCCTGGGCCTTCTGGTTATTGAGAAGAAGTTGTTTAAAGTAAAATATTGACGCCGGACACCGGACAGACGGACGACGGACGCCGCACCACGGCATAAGCTCACTTGGCCCTTTGGGCCAGGTGAGCTAATAAATATGACGTTTAAATTTCATTGTTTGTGTACATTCTTTGTGTTAAACATGATTTTAATTTCTGATCATAATTTCAGTAAGAGTAACAATATCATAAGGATGAGATCTAGACAAACCTTCAGGCTGTAGCGCTTTAATCTTGATAGAAGTTTCCTCCACAATTTTAGCAGCCTGGGCATCAACATTCCGGACTGCACAGTGGAGTTCATCATAAGAGCCATGAGCAATAGTTCCCTTACACATCAGACTCCGACATATTTGCCCAAAATGTTTAATGTCATCCAGAAGTAAATCTGCAGGATCAATAATGGCCTCTAGTTCTACCAAAATACTCTGCCAGGTGTTCAGATTTGGACTGAATATTCCACTTAGGCGTCGGACCATGTCAGCATGCAGCTTCTTGATCTGCAACTGCCGACTGTGAGCTGAGGAAGTCTAAAGAAATGACAAACAAGCAAAAGAGATAGTATTCAGTAGGTTGTTTTTAGTTATGGGTATGGGAAACAATAGGCCCAAAGAGCCTGTATTGCTTACCTGGATATTAATGTTAAATAATCATGACCAGACATTTTTATTTAAGTAACTGAAGAAGTATGGCCAATACTGGTAACATAGATATATATAAAACAAAAGGCCCAAAGAGCCTGTATTGCTCCCCTGGACATTATTGTTAAACAAGAGGCTCAGAGAGCCTTTATCGCTCACCTGGAAATGTAAGCAATATTGAAGTTGGAATAGCTAGATGCTGCTGGTAGTGTACATGTATTGCATGGTTAGTCAGGGGTTATATTTATATGCAATTGCACAAAAATCCTGTCATTTCTACAAGAAAAGGAGGATTTTGAAAAAATTGCTTTGTTTCCCCTATTGGGCCCCGCCCCTCTGCCCCCAGGGGGGTCAGATCCACTGTTGCTACAAAATCAGGTTGCCTTCCCTTACTGATGCTTTAGACCAAATATGGACATTTTCCTGTCATTCTTACAGAAGAAGAATGATTTTAAAGCTATTTTTCCATTTTCCCTATTCAGTCCTCCACTTCTGCCCCGGGGTGTTCAAACCCATTAATTATATCAAATTGATTTCGCTTTCACATAGGATGCAACTGTTCAAATTTGGTCAAAATAACTTCATCCTAACGGAGGTAGCCAGAGGGCCTGTATCGCTCACCTGGATATCTAAGGAACCATGGCAAAATCTTCTCCTTATAAGATCGAAGGGAATGGGCCGACCCCTAAGACCAAACCTTTTAACATATTCATGCCCAGCAAGTTTATGTGTGGCTATAGGGTCGGGATCTCAACTGTTTCCGAGCTGGGACTACAAAACTAGGTCCCTAGAGTTGTGGCCAGACCCCAGGGTCAATTCTAATATCATGACAGCATTTGTATAGTTTTGGGGTGGGGATCTCAACCGTTTCAAAGTTATGACCCAGGGGTTAAGTTTGCAAGGGTAGGGCAGACCCTGGCGCCATCCTGGAAGCATATGTGCATTCTTCTCTTTATACTCAGAAACTGTATATATGGTTATAGGGTGGGGATCTCACCTCTTTATACTCAGAAACTGTATATATGGTTATAGGATGGGGATCTCACCTCTTTATACTCAGAAACTGTATATATGGGTATAGGGTGGGGATATCACCTCTTTATACTCAGAAACTGTATATATGGTTATAGAGGGGGGATCCACCTCTTTATACTCAGAAACTGTACATATGGTTATAGGGTGGGGATCCACCACTTTATACTCAGTAACTGTATATATGGTTATAGGGTGGGGATCCGCCACTTTATACTCAGAAACTGTATATATGGTTATAGGCTGGGGACCCAACTCTTTATACTCAGAAACTGTATATATGGTTATAGGGCGGGGATATCACCTCTTTATACTCAGAAACTGTATATATGGCTATAGGGTGGGGATCTCACCTCTTTATACTCAGAAACTGTATATATGGCTATAGGGTGGGGATCTCACCTCTTTATACTCAGAAACTGTATATATGGGTATAGAGTGGGGATCCACCTCTTTATACTCACAAACTGTATATATGGTTATAGGGTGGGGATCGACCTCTTTATACTCAGAAACTGTATATATGGCTATAGGGTGGGGATCTCACCTCTTTATACTCAGAAACTGAATATATGGTTATAGGGTGGGGATCCACCACTTTATACTCAGAAACTGCATATATGGTTATAGGGTGGGGATCCACCACTTTATACTCAGAAACTGTATACATGGTTATAGGGTGGGGATCTCACCTCTTTATACTCAGAAACTGTATATATGGTTATAGAGTGGGGATCCGCCTCTTTATACTCAGAAACTGTATATATGGTTATAGGATGGGGATCTCACCTCTTTATACTCAGAAACTGAATATATGGTTATAGGGTGGGGATCCACCACTTTATACTCAGAAACTGCATATATGGTTATAGGGTGGGGATCCACCACTTTATACTCAGTAACTGTATATATGGTTATAGGGTGGGGATCCGCCACTTTATACTCAGAAACTGTATATATGGTTATAGAGTGGGATCCACCTCTTTATACTCAGAAACTGTATGTATGGTTATAGGGTGGGGATCCACCACTTTATACTCAGTAACTGTATATATGGTTATAGGGTGGGGATCCACCACTTTATACTCAGAAACTGTATACATGGTTATAGGGTGGGGATCTCACCTCTTTATACTCAGAAACTGAATATATGGTTATAGGGTGGGGATCCACCACTTTATACTCAGTAACTGTATATATGGTTATAGGGTGGGGATCCGCCACTTTATACTCAGAAACTGTATATATGGGTATAGGGTGGGGATATCACCTCTTTATACTCAGAAACTGTATATATGGTTATAGAGTGGGGATCCACCTCTTTTTGAATCCCCACTTCCCATCAATGCTTCTGACCAAATATGATTTATATCCAGTGCATCGTTTTACAGCACTACCTAGGGATGCTTAATATCCATCTTTTGGTTCCAGATCCAGTGAAGTTGATTAAAGCAATGTAGCAAAAAAGCCCGTTTTGGCCCCGCTCATAAGCCTGGGGGTCAGCCCCACCATTTGAACAATTTTTAACTCCTACCTCCCAACCAAATATGATCAATATCCAGTGCAAAGTTCTCAAGAAGAAGTTGTTTTTTGAATCCCCGCTTCCCATGAATGCTTCTGCTACCTAGGGATGCTTCCAGTCAAATATGGTATATCCATCTCCTAATTCCACAGAAGAAGTCGCTTAAAGCTATATAGCCAAATTGCCCCCTTTTGGACCCACCACTCAGCCCCCTTGGGGAGTCAGCCCCACCATTTTTACAATTTTAAATCCTCACTACCTAGGGATGCTTCAAGTCAAATATGGTTGATGTCAATCTCTTTGTTTCAGCGAAGAAGTCACTTAAAGCAATATAGCCAAATTGACCCCTTTTGGCCCCGCCCCTCAGCCCCATTGGGGGTCAGCCTGACCATTTGTACAATTTTGAATCCCCACTACCTAGTAATGCTTCCAATCAAATATGGTTGATGACAATCTCTTAGTTCCACAGAAGAAGTGGCTTAAAGCAATACATGTATAGCCAAATTGCCCCCTTTTGGCCCCGCCCAGCCCCCTGGGGGGTCAGACCCACCATTTGTACAATTATGAATCCCCACTATATAGGGATGCTTCCAGTCAAATTTGGTTGAAATTTGTCCGGTAGTTTCAAAACAACTTGAACTTGCCGTAAAACTTTAACCTGTGGAATTACGCATAAATCTTTAACCTGTGGAATTTGCCCAAAAACTTGAACCAATTCCAAAAGACTAGTGTTTGGGACCAATAATGAGCAAATATGGTCCAATTTGTTACTTAAGAACATCCAAGCAATTGCTGTAACCATATTACAATGTAAAATTAATTAAAATTTCAGTTAAACACCAAAACACAGCTTGCCCAAAAACTTTAACCAAGTGGGACGCTGACGCCATGTGTACTGCTATATTCCCGCTTTTCTTTGAATAGACGAGCTAAAAACGTTTTAAGATATTTGACCCCTGTGACCTTGAATACAAGTTAAAGGTCATTCAATTGAACAAACTTATAATTAGTAGCGCTTCATCCAAGCATGTTATTGTCCAATATCCTCCTCCTTGACCTTTTAGTCATTCAGAAGAAGTTGTTTACAAATGAGGATTCTATACTCACATCAGCTTGGTCTGCCATTTTCTTTGATGAAATTGGTTATCTGTTAAAGAAAAAGTAAAAGATGAACAAATTTATTTTTAAAAATATCCCAATATGTGTATCGTACTACAGCATTGTTTGACCTTTGTTAACACAGCTCAGTCAACATTGAAACAAGCCGCCAAAAGAGGGACCAAAATAAATTTCTCGTTAAAAGTTATATTGCCAATATTTCCCAATTTTGACTCAGTATTGAGCCAGCAGGGTAACACCCTTGCTGTATAAATAACCTTCTGGTTTGACCAGGCCAGAACCAAGGAGATTTCATGGCAAATTTGTTTATACCAATGAACGAGCTGGGCACCTAATTTGGGCTGTCACACGTACAGAATTCGGCCCTGGGTACAAGAAATTTGATTTTGTACCCATACACAGGTACTCCATATAAATTGTACCCACATACATTGTAAAACATCACCGCTATTGACAGGTTTCTATTAGAGCTAATTAGAGATACCTGTATTATAAAATCCACAATATGTGAGCTATGCTCCATTGACATGAGTACAATTGTTGTATAAATTGACTCATTTTTAACTGTAAAACAATAAATAAGCACTCGCTTGTTATATAAATAGCTAGATAACACATATTGCAGTAATATTTGCTGCGGCGCTGATCAGCAGGTAAACATATTTACTGCACAAACGCAACCGGATGCAAGACAAGCACACTACACACGAAGTTAATGAAATACAATATTAATGTATCTGTAAAGGCAAAATATGCGTCGTCAGAAATGAAAACAATGTTGCATATGTGAACATGTTGCAATACAATGAGATATCATGACGTCACTTGTGAGAGAAAATAAAACACATGACTTAATATTTCGCCAATTTTTCATTCTTTGTGTTAGTTGATTCGGACGATGATCGACAGTTTCTTATTTTGACGGGTACATACCCGGTTCCAATCAAAACCGACCAATATTTGGGTACTCGTAACAGCCCTTCATGTAATAGTGTTATTTAATTTAATGATTACAAACTGACAGTCCATGTAAAGGTGTAAACATTGGTTGGTCAAAAAGTGAAGCATCATTTCTTTTTTTCAAATTTCGTTCTATTCTTTTATTAGGCAATTATTTCTGCTTCAATGAGATTTCAAGTTGTGTGAATCCAACACAAGGTAGCTTATATAGGCAGCTTACTTTAGCATATTCCATATTATTGCATTTCAACACTTCTAATTTTTTTCATGAAAGTAGCATTTCTGATTTTGCTTCATTAGCCATGGCCAGTATCGGGTCGATTTTCACAGCCAATGTGCTCATAGCAGTAAAGTTGCGAAAAATGAAATATACAAAGAGGCCCAAGGGCCTTATAATTAGCGGTCACCCGAGTTATATTATAGGTACTGGTAGCTTTATTTTTTTGTTTAGATGTGATGTGGAAATCAGCATGTAAACTAAGTGAAATACAATACTTGTCATGTCATCAAAGGATAAGAATTTGAAAATATTGGTAAATATTCCCTTTGGGGCACCGCCCTAGCCCCTTGGGATGGGGCAGGAATCCCAATTTTACAAAGTAATACTCTCCTTCACCAAAGATGATTTTGACTAAGTTTGAGTAATTTTCTGCTGAAAATGGATAAAATATACCCAAAGTGTTATTTCCCTATATAAACTATAGTAAACTTTACCCCCTCCTCATAGGAGAACGGATAGCTTGGGGGTCCTGAAATTTACAATTTAGGTAAAGCCCCTGATGATCTTTCTTTCCATGCAGAGAAAATGACTGCAGTACCTCTGAGTCTGGAGAAGAAGCTTTTTTTAAATTATTGGTTAATTTTCCCTTTGGGGCCCCGCCCTGGACCCAGGGGTTGGGGTAGGAATCCCAATTTTACAATTTTGCAGCCTCATCTACCAAGGATGATTCTGACTAAGTTTGAAAAAAATCCATTCTCTGGTTCTTGAGAAGAAGTTGAAAATGTAAAAAGTTTACGCACGACGGACGGAAAGCGACTAGAATAGGTAACTTGAGCAAAGCTCAGGTGACCTAAAAATGTGCAAACATCAACCACAAAACACATGAAAACATTTTACTATGTATACTCGGGTTAACTACCGAGCTAGTTGTTTTATTTGTAAACCGCCATGTTTCTGTGCATTCTCAATGTTATTTACGTGCTTGAGTAGAGCTGGCCTTGACCTAGCCACAGTCAAAACCCATAAGTGATTTATTGACAGGTAGGAGCGGGGCTAATGGTTATATAAGCCAGTCAAAAAATGCGCGCATCAACGCCGACAGAACACTGACCTCCGTCAGTGAGACGAAACCTGCATGGGTGGAGTCATGTAGGCGATACACCTGTAAACCAACCAACCAAATGTGCACATGGTCACTTGGCCATTCTGTGTCGGAAGCAACTTGAGAGCAGACCATTACTTGTTAGTTGTAAGTATTCTAGAGAGCGAGCTTTCAATGATGGGGTATAAGACTTTTACCCATTATGACCGCTCAATTAACAGTATCATACATTAAAAGCTATCGTGTTGCTTCGGGTCCGCTACATTGATTAATCAAGACGTCACCGTGAAAGCTTGTTGGATTGCTGTAGTGAGTTATAGGGAGTGGTCGGGATAAATCAAGGTTAGCAATGTAGTGGTGCCGAGCTATCAGTGTGGCGAGACATCGGCCGTACTGAGCTATCCAAGCTATCACCAGTACAGGTGGTCAAGACCGGTGTGTGTTACTGTGGCGGGGCAGTGAGAGACCAGTTTGATCTTTTTTCTTCTTTCCTCTAATCTGTTTGATCGAGTCATGTTAACAGTAAATGCACCTTGAAGTAACTTTCGATCTAAACAACCTTCAAAGTGAGCTTGTCATTTCACATATTTACTAGTACAGTACTTAATGTGAAAGATATAGAACCGATCATAGCAATATGAGAAAGATCTGTGAAGTTCTTCCTTCAGCCATTATGTTTTTATGATCATGCAGTCTCAAAATAAAACATGCACAACTAGGGATCAAGGGGAACCTACATATCAAGTTTGAGAAAGACCCCTCCTAAGTTATTCCTGAGAAAATCAGCTAACAAACCTTCCATGTCAAAAATCAAAGATGGACAACTTTTCGGCAATTTAGTTTATTTGATCAGTCTCAAAAGTAAACATGAACAATAAAGGGCTGTAGATAACCTTCATATATAATTGAAAAAGAATCCTTCAGTATTTCTTGGGAAATAGCACTAACAAATCTTTACTGTTAAAATAAAAGAGGTTTTTATCCGATCAGTCTCATAAGAATATATGCACAACTACAGACAAAGGGGAACCTACACACATTTGAGATCCCTCTAGAACTTCCTGAGAACTAGCAATAACAAACATTCACGGTCAAAATTCAAGATGGCTACCTGTCAGCCATTTTGGTTATTACGATCAGTCTCAAAAGTACACATGCACAAATACAGACCAAGGGGAGCCCTCATATCAAATTTGAGAAAGATCCCCCCCTCCCCCCCC